TGTGTGTGTGTGTGTGTGTGTGTGTGTGTGTGTGTGTGTGTGTGTGTTTTGTGCGCGCCAGGGTCGCATAACAGATCTGATATCATTTAGAATCTGATAGGAGCACGTCTGACATTTAAGAGTCGCAGCAACAAGCAACAGTAACAGCATTGAAAGAACTGCAGGCCTGTAGCAGCATTTCAATCATCTCATATCGTGGCTTTTCAAAAAAAAAAAAAAAAAAAAAAAAAGTCAATATTATGTCAGTTGTCATAGCTCCAAACTCTGTGTTTATGTTCTCTTCAGTTATTGGGATTGTGCTGCAGCGACGTCGGTGTGGCCGATCTCCCTCTTTCAGTGTGTCTATCTATGGAGGGAGGGGGGGGGGGGACTGTTATGTCATCAGTAGAGTTCTGCGTCCTCAAATGAACTCTCATCAGACCGGACGTTTATTCTTTCAAGTGTTGCACTCGACTTTATCGGACAGCCTCCGTGACAGGATTTCTAGGATAAATCCACGCACCTTGGGTGTTATTGCCGCTGACCTCCTTTTAAAAAATGTTTGACAAACCAAATACAAAAGAAACAAATCTGCTGCTTAGGCGTCTTTGTTCAGATACATAAACCTCAGTTGTTCCTCCCTGTACCTGTTGTCCTCCAGGTGAGTGTCAGCACGGGCACCAAGAAGCTGGTGGCAGCCACGGCCTTCGGTGCCGCCTCGCTCCTCTTCCTCGCCCGCCGCTTCCAGAGGAGGAAGGGAAGAAAGAAGGCTCAGTGGGAGCAGGCTGGCTTTGAGATTATCTCCCCGGCCTCAGCAGAAAACGGTAAAACGTCCTCCTCCGGGATCTTTCATTAAGTAGTACGTTAGCCCAGTTGCTGGTTTGTGATGTAATCAGATTGAGGCGTTTGGGCTGCTCCGGTGTTACCTTGAACTGTAAACAGAAAGCTCCAGATAAATGAGCTGGAAACAGTTTTTACAAACACACAAAGCAGGTGAGCCAGAACGTCACTTAATAAAGTGATTTCAAACAGATTAGTAACAATGGCAAAATTCCCAGAAAAAGGCCGTTTCACTCTAATCAAATTGTCAAAACGTGGTTCATCGGTCGTGTAATCCTGCAACATGCTCATGTCGTGTGATCCCTGTGTTCTGGTTCCATCTACGCAGGAAACACCGGTCGAAACATCACACTCTCCCTCAACTCCAAGAATGTCAACACCTCCGGTCTGCTACACAATGCAGGAGACTACAGGAAACTGTCCGGGTCTCTGCTGAGCCTGGCCTCGGTGAGACAAAGACTTACTTTTAAAATGTGTTATTTTTGTTACGTAAAGCACGGAAACATAATGCAGTAATGAGGAGCATTCATTGAGAAAGAAACGGAAGCATACTGCACATTTAAAGATGGTGCAATCACGCCCACAGGTGGCTCTCCTCTGTCCAAACCAGGCTGGAGAAGTTCACTTTGTTGCATTTTTAAAAGTCGAAGGATACAACTAAGATGCTGGTAGGGTTGGCCTGCGCTGCTTCCACTCCTTAAAACGTTACTGTGCTCTTCTGCTTTGTGTCTGCAGGTCAAAAGCATGAACTCGTCCAGCAGCAGCACCTGTGCAAATGTGTCCACCTGCTGGGACAGAGGGGGGGAAGCTGATATCTGCAGTGTTGTCAACTTACCTGTCACCACACCTGAAAACCTGTACCTCATGGGTAAAGAAACACACACACACACACACACACACACTACGTCACCTCACTGTGTTTTTTAATAAGGAGACTGGACCACATAAGGTATTCAAATAGTAATTTCTTGGAAGAATCTTTTATTTGGTGGGTTGCCTTGTTTAGAAATGCAGCATATGAGACTCTGAGTTTATTTGTGTGTGTTTGCAGGGATGGATTTATTTGAAGAGGCTCTCCGTCGGTGGGAGGAAGCGTTGACGTTCAGGAGCACGCAGGATGACGACGACGACGACGCCGCCAGCTGTGCATCCGTCAAAACGGGAGCCGGAGACGCCATCGCTGAGCAGGGCATGGAGGTGAACGCACAGAAGCACGCTGATCATTTAAAGATACAGATTTGTTTTTCAGCGGGATAGATTTACCACGCCGCCATAATTAACACCAATTTAGTGCAATGCCCCAATTAATCAGAGATAAAGGGGGAGGAGCTAGCCAGACGATGCTTTTAAGAGGTTTGGAAAACAGATTTGTTTCCTATAAAATACCTCCTGATTAACTGTAAATGGCTGATGCAGACTGTTCTACAAATAAATAAAATGTCTGTGTTCTATCTTTTTATACCAGAGGAAGGTAGAGAAGAACATATTGCCCACAAACACTGCGCTCCAGGTCTCGTATATGAACAACCAGCACTCTGACAAACCCACCGGTGTTTGGATTTATTTACGGCTAACTCAATACCTCAGTAACCCGGATTAGTGCGGGTCTAATAGCTAATGTCGGGCACCCAAACATGCGTCCAGTCTGCTGCTCAAGTCTGTCAAGGATACCCCCGACTCAGTTGAGCCTCTTTAGAAAGCTTATTAAGAGATCGGTCACAGGGGATGATCAAACATTGATCAGGTTCCTGCTATTTAAGTTTGAAGGGCTTGTTTTTTCAGTAATATTTCATATACTTATTAATTCCTTTTCTTAAGATGGGCTTTAGGGGTTTGTGAGTCTTATTTCTATCGTTGAACAGTTCTGTTTTCGTGTTCAGGACGTCATCAGTGCAGAGTTCATGCACAGGCTGAAGTCTCTGCTGCAGAGGGCTTACAGCCTCCAGGAGGAGTTCGAGGGAGTGCTGTGCATGTCGGAGCCCTCGTCCCACAGCAACAGCCAGGGTGAGTCACTCGTTCGATGTTATGTAACTTCCACGATCGATACGGTATTGTGCAACACATTACAAAGAGTACTCGCTCCATCACAGATAAAATGGCAGACGTTCTGTCCAGAGAGGAGCTGGACGACGCCTGTCTGAGAGACTGCAACAGCATCGCCTCCACGGACTCATTTGTGTCTGCCGCCGAGGTGAGAGGAACTCTCACATCACTTTATTAGTCACTTTACTTACTTCTAAAGAACTCTTTATATGCTTGACTCCCGTTAGTTTGTTCTACTGAAGACTTCTCAAACCTCTAAGCAAAGTCCAATTTTCGTGGCAATGATGATCTTAACGCACTAACACTAAATTAATGATGAGTGGATGCAACGGACAAACGGCACTTCATACATTTCCTTGAGTTATTTAAGAAAAATACTGAAACAGCTGGTGCGATTGATTCAAAAGTATGCAGGAAGTGTTCATTTACAAATAGACGTTATTAAAGTATTGTTTTTGAGATTTAAAAAATGAAACGATAGCGTATGACCTGACCAATTAAAAGTAATTATGCAGCAGCTACTATATAAAACAAAAGTATCACTTATAACACTTAAAAAAGAAGCGATTATATTTTCATCTTTATCTCACACTATATTATTTTGCATATTAATGCAGATGTTGAACAAGACACGAGGTGAGTTGTGCGAGGGTCTCGTAGTGATGTATTGACACCATTCACTGTGTTGTTATAACTGAAGATGGGGCTCTATGTCACATGTTGGGATACCGATGAAACATGGCCGCCTAACTATAACTATAAGAATGAAGTTGAACATTAGTTCAGTGAACAGTAGTGTAATTAATAAGAAGCTTCCGGCCAGAAACAAGCTAACGTCTTTATCTCAAACATTCTGAAGCATCAAATGTAGAACCACTTCACAGCAGGAGTTTGATTCAAATCGCTTTGATCCTACAGTGAAGCTTAAAGTGACGGGGTTTGTACCCTCAGACCTGTTCCACCTCTTACAGACCACATAGCAGCGAGTGGAGGCAGAGCCGTCAAACTGGGTCACTGGTACTTATAAATAGACCTCCAACATTCTTCAGTCAACAAGATACAGCTCACTGTTAGTCTGCAGCTGTTTGCACTCTACAACACGGAGTGATCGCTGTCCGGCCTGGAAAACGGCACAATTTATGAAACAAATAATGGGGAAAACACAAAGGTCAGAGGTTACAGGACAACCTGTTGGTATTTTAGGTGGGACGAGAGGCTTCAGGCTCAACCTTTGGGACCAAGTTGACCCGACGTTCAGCACCAGTTACCTTGATTACAGGACAACTTTAGAAGAAACTTTTTTTTATTACATCATGTCAGGTTTAGCTGTCAAAAAAAAAAAAAAAACAGTAAATAAAGAATTATTGTTCCAAAAGTGTTCTATTTTTGAATGGATACAGACTGACTTGGGGGGTTTGGGCCAAAGCAGACAAAACAAATGAGTCTCAGACTGAAACATATTCGGTTGCGTCCCCATCGCTAACATTATTTAGCAGACATCAATTGCTTTTACCAAACACAGCTCAAGATAACCGGGATAAATGTAACATTCAACTTGTGCTTGTGTCTCACATAAAGTCTTGTCTTCAGGGTCTGGACCTGCTGCATTATTCATGAGGAGGAAATGTGATTGGAACTGTCATTGTTTACTCCATAATCATCTGTTTTCTGCCTCTGTTTGTATCAGCTGACGGAGCACCGGGAGCTGAGGAGCGTCTTCGCTCTGGGTCACCACCTTTTCTACGAGGAGGCTCTGCAGATGGCCGAGGACGGCAAGATCTCCTGCAGGGTGCTGCGGTAGCTAAACTAATTCATCAAAACGCACACGGAACACTGAGAACCTGAGAAATGCTGCATAGAGCTCTTTGCTTTGTCTGCCAACATTGTAATCTGGTCTCTCTCTCATGATTTTATTTCGTCGCCAGGACTGAGATGCTCGAGTGTCTCGGGGACGTCGATTTCCTGGCCAAGTTGCACTGTGTGCGGCAAGCATGTCAGGTACTTTATAACCTAATTAATTAACATATATCATGATGACATTAATAGAGGGAAAGTCTTAATAATTTGACTGAATACAATTAGTATTCACGTGGATAAACAAGGAAGGAGAACATTTTACACTCATTGTATTGAGCTTCCTTACTGAAGAAAATAAATGTTAACTTTGTGTAGAATTGACTAAACTTTATTTTATTTATTTTTCAGCTCATTTTGTGCGAGACAACGACCCGGATGTTTCTTGCCGACACGGGAAAGAAAATACTGTCCTCCATTATTGTTAAAGCACAGAAGGTGAGACTGAAGCCACAACTCGTGAATGATAACGATCTTCAAAGAGTTTTTCCTAAATGTCATCATGCTCTCAGAGCCCACATAGATTCGAGGAAGTGTTTGAGGAGATGATTTCCTTCCTGGAGCACACGGAGCACTGGGAGAACACGGAGGTGGAGCTGGCCACGCGAGGGGTACGAGGGCCGCTTTACCCAATTATTAAACTCCTCCACGAAGTAACGTCTTGACTTCTAATGCCTGATCGGAAATATGTGGACAGTGGAGAAGGTCTCACTCTCATCACTCCCACCAGGTGAAGCACCTGAACTTCTACGACATAGTGCTGGACTTCATCCTGATGGACTCATTCGAGGACCTGGAGAATCCACCGGTCTCCATTCAGAACGTTATCAACAACCGCTGGCTCAACACTTCCTTCAAGGAGACGGTGAGCAAACGCAGGAAATACTTCCTGGTGATCAGACATGACAAA